GTCTTTCGAATCCTAAGGCATCTAAAGATGACTCTAGGATATTGATTGGTATTAAGCAAACTGAAAACAGTAACATTGAGATCTAAATTGATGTTAGTTGGGCAGGATAGCTGACTAACAAAAAATCTACAGCAAGTTACTGTTCATTTGGTATGGGGTAACTTGATTACTTGAAGAAGTAAAAAGAAAGTTATGGTGGCCAAGACGTAGTAAAGAATCTGAGTATCGTGCCCTAGCCCTAAGAATTTGTGAAGAAACATGACTACAAAAATTACTGGAGAAACTACACATGAGGGAACAAAAGCACTATTAAGATGGTCGTTGATAATCAATCCAACCATCAGTATTTCAAAGAATCTAGTACAACATGATCGAACCAAACATATAGAGATTGACAGACACTTCATCTCTGAGAAGATCAATGGAGGGGTTGTCTAACTAAGCTATATCCCAACTCAGTATCAGATTGTTGATATTCTTACCTAGACTCTTCCTCTGCACCACTTTAGCGATATTAGCAGTATGGGATGTATGATATACAACTCAACTTGAGGGATTAGTATTCGTGTGCATATAATCGTGGACCACATGGGCCCGCTCAAGGTTTAGGAAAGCTTGGGTCCACTGCTACATTTGAGGTGGAGAAATTATTCTCTCTTAATTATCAATTATTGTGTATTTATTTCTTTCCTCCTTACCATGATGATTTGAATTTTCCTCCAATTGAATGATGTTAGTCTGAGCTATATATATATATATATATATCTCAAGGCGAGATATATATATATATATATATCTCAAAGGAATAGTCAAAGGCTATTATACGAGCCTCCAGACACCTCTAATGTGTCTAACAATTCGAGTACCACCTCCTTAAGGTCAATTGTGTCAAAGGAGATTTGAACCACCAACCTAACAGGTTTTATATCGTAGATGTCAACCAACAGGTCGGGGTACGCGGAACACGCACACACAGATATATATGTACATATACATATGTATATGTACATATACATATTATATATATGTATATGTGTGTGTGTGCGCGCGAATGACCTGGCTCATTGGTGCGGCCTATGGCGCAAGTCCCTTGGATCAGGGGTTTGAATCCCGTGGCGCGGGCTCTTTGGATCAGAGACAAGCACACCAGGATTTTCAACCCTTTGAGGGAATCGATAATTGGTTCCACTAGACCAAATATCGATTTCACCTTTAAATATATATATATATATATATATATAT